TTACACACACGCTACGTTCTTTTGTCCGAACGTATATTTACAATATAATATATAGTCAATAGTCATATATTATATTATATATGTATCGAGGAGGTAAATAGGTGCATAATGAATTATCGCGATTAGTTTAAATTGGAAGCAGCGCATTGTCGTCACTATCACGACGATTAATATATTATTAAATTATAATATGTGTCACGATGAATTCGTGTTGTAAACAATTAGGTACCTATACATTGTTTGTGGGGGCGCTATACACAAATAATAATATTATATTATATTATTATACGGCGTAAGCATAATACCGCATTGTGTTGAGATCTTAATATAAAAATTATTTATTGTTTTAATGTTTTTCTTGATTATTATGTTCTATCTGCGGCGTGTTTGATTTTGTCATAGTATTTAATTAAACATGCCTTATAAGTTATATGGTACTTATATCATAATTCATAATAATTAATAACATTCATAATATTATATAACGGCCCACCACATTAAAATAATATGGCATTAGTCGCTGACTGGACTTTGGGACTAGAGCATTTAAGTCCATTGAACGAACGAGTAGATAAGGCAATAGGTCCAATAATTAAAGATATAGGTACGTCATGTGCATTGTGATACAACAATTAAATCTGGCTATTTAGTACTTATAAATATATTGATTACCTATTACTTATTTCTTAATGATATGCACCTATGTTGTCATTCATAAAGGAAAAAACCTTGGAAATTGATAATACATTTATTTTTTATACATTGTAATTTGTATGGTATGACTTCAAATTACTTAAAAAAATACTTTCAAAGACGTTTGTCTTTTCTGACGCAATGACGTCGAATCACTGTAGCGCATAGTTTAACAGAAAAATATTGTTTCCTATGTGGCAGTATACAATATGTAAGTAAATCGGAACCTGCCTGTTCAACAGGCGAATCGCGAATGTATATATGAGCCAATTAACCACGGATTCAAATAATAATAAGTGGTGACTACTGCATAATAATATTGTTGTTATTACGTGTCGTCACCTGCACAAGGAAAATTATGTTGCTATATAACTCGTTAGTGATTTAGTTTAATTTTACCAAATATATAATAATAATATTAAACCTACCTTCAATATAATATAAGTCGTAACAACCATACGTGCCAGTGTTATGGTTGTTTATTAATATTATATTATGCCTATTGCCTACAAATTAAAATAATAATAGTTATTAAGTAATTTTAGTATAATATACGAACTCATTTTAGTTCGAATCCATATTTTATATTTTCCCGAACGTATTACAACATTTCGTGAACATTGTTTCGTGACGCGCGTACATTGAAATTATCATCGATATTTACGAATTTTTGAAATCGCAAATATAGTATTAAATTCGTCGCGAATTCAATTTTTTGACTCCTACACATTCATCATATTATTATACACACACGTACTCTCTTATTACGAGTACAAACCCAAGTATGGGTGGGTCCGCAGAGATCCGATATGCGCCTGGGGAAATATTTGTGTGATAATATTCAGTTCATAAATAACAGACGAAGACAAGTCAAATTTTTACGACCGCGTAATAACAACATTGGTGAAAACTTTAATACGTACCAAGGAAAAAACAATACTATACGATAATATTATATAATAATAATAATAATAAGGAAAAAAAACAGAAATAATAACAATAATGTCTTGACTGTAAAAAATTACTCCGCGGAGGCAAAGAAAATAGTACCTAAACATATTATAAGGTGTTGTACACATTGAAACCGAACTGTTGCGTGAGCAGTGGTCTCCATGTAAACATATACATTTAATCGAGATCGCACTTTTACCAGACCAAACTGATGTGGTTGTTTTTAAATAACATTTTCCGATGTTTAAAATGAAAATAGAATTTTAATCACTATAGTATAGAATGTGCAGTTTTTTTTTTATTTATTAATGTTAAAGCTTTGTAGATCATTGGTTTGTGATTTATTATTATTATTTTTAACTATTACATTTTTAAAAAACATTATACTTAATTAAACTCAAACTTAACTTCGTCCCAACGAATTTGCAGTTTATATATTTTCGTAGAACATTAAAAAATGTATCAATTTTGTGAAATTAAAAATTAAAAAACTATTTAGTATCGTAATGGCTTTAAAAATAGTTGTTCCCGCTGTTTATTATATAAAATAATAATAATATATTAATCAAGTGGTAAAAATAATAAAAAAGTTAAAGTTTCAATATTGATTACCTAGTGATTAGTTAAGCATTCTAGTATTTTCTATAAATATAGAAATTAGAGAAAATAGTCTTTACCTATAGTATTTTTATCGTTTTAACTACAAATGTGTATTGCTTATTGGAATCTGATAGTTTATTTAATAGTTATAAATAAGTGTGTATGTATCTACAATCACAACATATATGGTTATATAATATAAAATATATTTGGTTAGAGCGGTTAAGTTCATATTTTCACAAATTTTCATTGTTTTTTTTTTTATGCTAAACGTCAAATCTACCAGAAAAAAAATCTGAATGAAAACTATCTCTATAAATTACTTGATAACATCAATATTTTGGTAGCTCGACGTGGAAATCAATAATTAACTACCTATCATAGTATTATTATAATATTATCATATCAGATCTCTATCTTTTTCCCATACTTGGCACATCAGTCATAGAGCGCGCTTCACTCTTAGGTATATAATTAATTAGATAGTGACCAGATATAAAATGAAAAATATTTACATATTTTAAAATTTATTAGCTCCTCTATTATAAAAAATATGTTATTTATATTGCATTATTATATGTAAAATGAAATATATTATGTGCAATTGTACAGTAGTAGCTTTTTCATAATATCATGCCAAATAAAAATAATTATATGATACTATAGAGTTAATCCCCTAAGAGCCGTGCCAAGCGGGGGGGGGGGAGGCAAATAGGACACAAGTTCCCTAGGGCGGCAAAAGTTGTAACATTTTTAAATATGTACGTTTAATAGGGGCGCCAAATATTATTGACCTAGGGCGCCGATGAAAGTTGGCACGGCACTGACGGTCTTACTAAACAAAAGTTTCGTAAAAAAATATTATTAGTTTTGAGAGAAATCCATGTTTATATTTTTTATTTTCTTATACCTTTATTATTTGCTAATCTATTTGATTTAGTATAAGCTATAGGCACATTAATAGTTTTTTCGACGAGGAATGCAATGAAATAATAATAAAAAAAGTATTATCGATAGTTTACATGAGTAAAAGTTACTTTTACGTTATTACTTAGCAATATAAGCCGTACACTTCAATTTACTAAGGAAAGAAGGCGTAGATAAATGTAATACATTATAAATTAATCATTATTATATAACTACATTTATTTACAAGAGTAAAATGCAGTAAATAAATGTATAATATTAATATAAATAATATGACATAAAATATAATTAATATAAAATGAAACATAAATGTTTTACAAACTGTCAAAGTTAAAGTCACATAAGTATATCAAATTATTATCAAAAACTGTTTTTTTTCCCAAAACCTATTGTTTGGTAGAAGTGTAGAACTTGTCTTAGTTGTTGAGAATGTCGTTACCTTTTTAATACATGAATGACCCTATCCCCTGGTGCGTCCAATGGTTTAGGTGCAGTAATTAATAATTATTCTGGAAATGTACACTGTTCATTACATTGCTAAGCAATAACGCCGTAACTTGAGTAGGATATGAAAATGTTAAGCGAATACGTTGTATAGTATATAAAAAATATTTACGGCGTTTATGTTTAGTGAATATAAAGTACGACGTTTTTACTCCTTATAACGTTTTTTTTTGTTATTTACGCATTTCCAAAGTTTGTGTTTTGCCTATTCAATGTAATTTCAGTGATTTTTTCCTACAGAAAACAACGTGTAAAATTGGCGTAGGTACAATTTCACAGCTAACTCATTTTTTATTTTCGAGTTACGAAACATTTGCAGTGTGTTTACACACTGTAGGTACTAACTTAAATTCATTAGGTCGAACCATAAAATATAAATGAATAATTAAATAATGAAATATAATAATATTAGCCTGTAGGCTGTTGTGGTGTTTAAAAAGAGTACAATGTCATGTACTTAACACTATATTGTTAAATATACTAGGACAATGCAAAAAAAAAAAAAATACCTCTGGTTAGTGGACTCCAGTACTCCACATTATAATTATTATAATATAATAATATAATATTATTATGGGTTCTCAAACAATCCTGAACTTTGAGAAATTGCAAGTTGCAACTGTTCGAAGTTTGTTGGAAATTAATACTCAAAATCTAACACATCGAACTCGGAAACTATTTCAAACAGTTCGAGAAAAACCGAGGTCATCGTCAAAATGTAGGTCTTGAAAATATAACTGATTCAAAATTCGTGTACAGATTGTTTTTGCAGGTTATATGGGCTGTTCAGAATTACTAAGTTATTTAAATTTCCACACCCCTCAATGATCATTATGACAAACGATGATTACCTAACTATAACAACTATAACAATTCGGTTAAGACGCTAAATTATATACTATAAAACGTGCTAATAACCAATTTTAATTATTTGTTACATGATTCATTAAACATAATTCACAATATTTATACATAGGTACATAGTTGATAAATGTAATGATAAATTATTATTTAATACAGAATAGAGCTTGCTTAATTTAAAAGAATATATATTTTTAGGTATACTATCGTAGACTTTTATAATATGTGTAATGTGTATAATGTGTACCGTATATTTGTACTATTTTTACAGGCTTAATGGTCTAATTCACTTAATGGTAAATTGGTATACATTGTATACCCCCTTAAACCATCCAAAACACCACTGCTTAAATTTAAACCTGTTATTGGCCTTTAGCTCGTTTGAATAAATAATTAAAATCAACCGTTTTGTGCATCTCGTAGGTGACAGCGGGGAGCGTGCCATTCGACGTCACCGCCGCCGCATGTTCAAGACGGTGCGCGCCCAACATGGCGCTGGTGACCTGGTGGCCGAGCTCGAGTACACGATATTACCGCAGACAGATGACCGTTCGCCGTCCGCGTCGAGCGGCGAGGAAGAACCACCGCCGTGCGGAGCGGCGACCGCGTGCCATCGGACCCATCTGCACCACCAAAACCATCACCACCACCAACTACAACAACAGCAGCAGCAAAAACCACAACAACAACACCACTACCAGTACCGGTACCACCAACACAGCAGGGACGCGTCTCCACAGACTCAGCCACACCACCATCACCACCATCACCACCGCAGGTCATCGTCCTCGTCGTCCTCTTCGGCGACGGCCGACGACAGCGTCGGCGGTGGTGGTGGTGCCGGCACCCGGCGCACTGTTGTCGTCATCATAGCCATGCTGGTGCTCGGCTGCGGCGTCGTGGCGGCCGCCGTGTTGGTGCCAATACTGTTGGCCGCCCGACTGGTAACCGTGCCCGCCTCGGCCCGGTTACAGACGTTTGCTGTGGCAGCGTCTGGCATCATTCACTCGGCGCGAGGCGACTACGTGCAACTGCTGCCGGTCAAGCACGCGCCACCCGGTACGGTCATCAATTTCGGACCACCGCCGCCCCCGCCGCCGCCGTCCACGGGCCGCAGGCGGAAGAGACGATCGGCCGTGGCCGCGGTGGTCAGACGGCGACGGAGGCGGCCGGTCGCTGAAGTCCGACACCGGAAACCGGTCCGGACTGACAACGGCTTCCGGTCATTGGACTTTCGGATTAGTCAATAGCGGCGGCAAAGTAAGCGCTTACTATTTTTATAATATTATTTTGTAACACACGCAGAAAGTTGCCAAGTTTTCTGGATATCCGACACACGTCATAACGTGACTCGACTTCCGTTTGAAAAAGTCTTTGAAAAACGAGGCCATTGCCATTTTTCTCTAAAAATCAGATACCGTGTAACCCTACGCTGATAATATTTTCCTTGATAAAAAAAAAATAAAACAAAACAAAATCTGGACCATTTTTCTCCATTGTCCACTATCTTGCATTATTTAAGTAAGGAAATTGTCACACTCTTATTAGTTTCAATAGGTACCCTATAATTTTTGTAGCTAAGTATATATTTTTATACACTGGTAAAGTATTAACAATAATAAAAAGATTAAAGACCAATAAAATATAATCAAATATTAATTATTTATAATAGTTTATAGGTAACCTTCTTTATAATATACATAGTTCTACTGTACCTGAGTTGTGATTGAACTCCTCCTAAACGGTTGCACCGATTTGAATGAATTTTTTTGTATGCGTTTGGGTGACGCGCCGGATCGTTTGGATTCACAAATCATCCCCCAAGTCCAACCAGGGGATGTGCTCAAACGGGGATTTAGAGATTTACGGCGGACATTTTTGTTTATAAATGGTTGCCATGGGTTTTAAAACTATTATAATAATAATAATTGGCTGCCTTGAAAACAGTGTATTCATTCAATGCATTTAATTTTTTTGTACTCTGTGTTTTGATATTATATGTATCGCAATTACGTAAATATTGAGTGTATCATACTCACATATAAGTTACGTACATAAAACAATGCCGCGTCTTCGTGAACGAGGAGGAAGTATTGGTCGATAGACTCGGCATTCACAATTAGTCCAGCCATTTAGGAGGAGTTCAGTGACATACTTGGTTTAACTTTGATACTTTAGAGTTAAATTATAAAGTTACGTACAAACAGCACTGGGTTTGTGATCTACCGCAGGTACATTGCCTAACTAATAATATACTGCTGCGAATCAGAATTTTTATTCCAGGCAACAGAAAAGTTAAGATAAATTTTGAACACCATACACCGAATATTAAATAACGAATTGATCAATGTTTGAGTCATATTAAACATTTAACGGGAAATGAAGTGCGCGGGATCATCTAGTATCTTTATAATAATTTAAAACTACTACCTACATAATAACTTTAAATCAAAATATATTATACAAATTATCGTCAATATTATTGATTTGTATTAAATTTGTATTAATATTATTGTAATGTATATTATTATACACGTACCTATATAAAATAATAATACAAATCAAGTATATTGTATACCGTATAATTGAATATTTTAAATAAAGAATTCTAAAATAACTATACCTACCTATAATACGTATATAAAGTGTTCACGTGCAGAACAGAAGATCTTTGATATTTGGTTTTCATTTTTAGGTATTTCGTTTTTCTTACAATTCTTGAATTTTACCATAATATTTTCTGTTTTCAAAGTAAATACTTTAACAATCTAAAACAGAAAAATCAAATATTACTTAATGTTACGCTGTGGATTTTACAAGGGCTACTGGCTAGTACTCAACTGTAAATCATTTTTACATTTATTTTTCTAGTTATAGGATTTTGATAACTTATTGTTAAGTATACTTACAAGTTAAGACTCTTATAATACACATTATCATCCCTTCTTGCCCTCAAGTTATGTTCACCAAAACTATAGTTAAATTTGCTTATCGAGTTTGTTAAATTCATTTTTTTCATTATCAGAAATCAGTTATCATATTATATAGCTCTAATTATTTTATGTTATATAATATAGTCTATAGACAAGATCTTAATATTCCGTCTTAGAATCCGTTAGCAGTGGATGATTAATCACAATTTAAATTTAAAAACATAATAACTAATATAGATATTAGACTTTATAAATTACCCAATACTGATAATAATTCGCAATTACAAAAATGAATTGAATATCTATACTTTTATTTTTATTTCTATTGGTAAAAAAAAAAAAATATTGAAAATTGAAAAACCAATGATTTTCCCATTCGAATCCATTACATGCCTTATGTTATTATGACCTTTAAGATGTACCTGTACTTTTTTACGAGTAAAAACTGAAACATATAAAGGTATGTTGAGATTGGAAAACTATAAAAACCTTGTCATTAATTCATCCCTAAGAAGTAAGAAGTAAGAAGACAATCATCATTTGATAAAATCGTACGTAAAATATTAATTTACTTACCAATATTATATCTTTATAAATATTAGTAAGTAAAACATTATTTCACTTTGAACCATATATTTGGTGGCCCATCATGCCCCGGGTTCCCCTACATTAATTATTAAGTGAACACGTTTTGTTCCATAGCATCAAATTGAATTAACATAATTATCTCAATTTGCCTTATGTATATATAATATTATGTAAATTCGGGCTGGCTCTATGTAAAAAAAACTAGCAACCGTGGATCGTTTAACAAATCATCCGATCTCTAATCTAACTTTAAATAAATCAAATTTTCCAGACCCAACACCTCCACACCAATCTCTTTGGGATCACTTTGATGTTTTCAATAAGGGCATATAAAATAAAGTTGTAATTATTATTATCGTCAAATGATTAAAAAAAATTCTAATTTTCGAATGCATAAAAATTAATTGATCAGTTTTTTTTTTTTACTAAAAATAATATAGGTATTATGTGCGTAAACGTTCTAAATTATAATATTATATACGCAAAATGCGAAATTCGGAGTATCTTAAAACATTTTAGATTCTTAAGTGGATTTAAGATAATTTGCAAATTTTATTCTTTCTAAAATAAATATCTATTGAATTATATATCTTATCAATTTATTTGAATTCTTGTAAACAGTCAAGTTATATCATGTAATATATTTACTCTATGGATTAATCCATTAAACATGTTATTTTAAATACTTAAATTCAGAATAAATCATGTTTATTTTTCTTTATATTAAAATATTTATGTGTCTGAGCATATTTTTTAAATAATTAAATAACGTAATTTGCTTATACATTTTATAATAATTTTGATCAGAATCACAAAGATTGATATTCTTAAGGGATTTCATATGTTTTTTTTAGATTCGGTGTGGGGTAAGGGAGCTATTGGTTTTACAATGACGTGTGTTTTTTTTCGGTTAACACGTTTTTGAGATCAGTAAAAAAATTTAGAAAGTTTTATACGGCACCTCTACAGATTGGAAATTGAACACATATTGTACTCGATAGTGGAAAACTTCCCAGTAGTTTTCACAAAAATCACTAAAAATGCGAGAAACGTCGTTTTGCCAACGTCTTGACCAGACATGCTTGGAAGTCAAAATCGTTTTGATGATGTTTTTACTGTTGTATAAAATGTTCTGAAACCAGAAAGAAAAAATAAATACTAAAACAAATAAGATTCATATTTATTCAATCGTTGTATAAAACCAGTGGTAAATACATTTTTTTTTGTTACTCATATCGATTGGGTGAAACCAACCAAAATATTTTTGTTTATAAAAATGTATTTTTTAAGGAATATTCGCATTAATGAAGACACGTATTTATCGTTTTTAGTTAATTATAAATTTTACGAAAGTGCTTAATTTATATGAAGCGTATCACGAGTGAGGAGCCTGCTTGTCTTAATCGCTTTTAATAATTATGTAGTCGAGATTGTGGATCATCCATTATTAATTTTTCCTCATCAGAACGTTTAATCTAATTAAAATATGAAAATATAATTTGCATTGGAAGTGTTTGAAATTAGATATATGGTGTACTTTTAGTAAATTATTATTATTATTATAATCATTATTTTAAAAGCTTCAATTAATATACATTTTTAAACTTGAAACACAGTTACAATAACATTTTCAATTTCCCGTCGAGTTTTTATAAAAGTAGTATTAAAATTAGTTTTTACTTTTTATAAAAGTAATGGTTCATCAATTTTTAATAACAGTAGGTATTATAATATATATTTTGTAATCGCTTTTTCGAAATGTTAATAAATAAGTTTCGAAAGTGTACTTATATTATATTAAATCAATTAAAATATTCAAACTCATTATACCAATAAGCAACATGTCTGTTTTTATCGAAGTAAAAATCCGATATTTTTATTCAGACGATTCTAAATATTTGATTCTTGTAAATGATAATATTATGGTTTGTTTTTTTAAACGTAACAATAAATATTAAACTGTATATATTAACTTTTGTTTTACCAATTGAGTCCGCTCGAATTTTTCAAGCTTTTCGAAGAGAAAAATAATAATATTAATATTCATCGTTCGTTTTCCGGTGTCTTTAAAATGCTAATACATACATAAATAGGTATTAGCTTTTGTGTGTTGGTCACGAGAAAAAGCGAAAATATTTGCGTTTATGTATTCATATACCTACATTATACACTATAGATATTATAATAATAAATTCGTTACAATATAATATGTGCACAGCTTTCATTTATAGACTATATAGAAGGATTCGATGACTAACAATAATTTAAAAAGAATCGAAAACTTTTACTTCTCAGTGTGTATTATAGCCTATAGGTACACACAGAAAATATAAATTGTACAGATTTACCGATCATGCTCATCTCAATTTTTCCCATTTTTATATATTTTTATTACATATGACGTGTCATTTATGGAGTGTGTGTCCTATATGGTGATTTCAACTTCTTCTTTTCAAATAAGTAACATCTTTTCTCTCTCTAAATTTGTTGATTAGATGATTTTTTAAAAATGTTTATATTATAATAAGTGCATATCAATCTAAATTCAAACAGACGCAGTTTTTTAGATAACTTTATGTAGGTACTAAGGATAATATAACATAATATCCTGTCCATGATAATGTATTTGAAATATATCCGGGCTATAATGATTTGATAATTTTAGTCATTAATATTAGTTAATCAACATTTTATACTTGCAAAGATTGTCCAAGTATAATAAATTTTAA